TTAAAACAATATTTTTCTAATCCCATGCCAAAAAAAAAAAAAAAAAAAAAAAAAAAAAAATGCAGCCAAGGAGCCCAGTGCTCCCCACCCCCGCCCGGGCAAACCACCCCACGCGGGGGCCCGCAAAACTTCAGGCACTACTTGACTCTTTCTCTACGGCAATATCTCTCCTGTGGCCTCTGCAGAGCCATGCCATTGTTTTTTTATTATTATTAGCCATTTTAAAAATGAGGAATAAAAGGATATTTAATGAGCCACCCCGACGGGCATGCGTGTGCTTTGTTTAGCGTCCAGGGACGGAGGAGCCCCTGAAGGGCTCCTGTCCTTCAGGGTCTCGGCCTTCCCTCCCTCCTCTCGAGGGGGAGAGGAAAGGGGGCCCGAGGAGAGCCGAGCCCGGCCCCGTTTCGGGGAGGCCGCTCCTTAGGGTGCTTCTGGGAAACTCTGCTCCCACGGAAGGTAAGGGTTTTTTTCAGGGCCTGAGGAAAGCGGCTCTGGGGAAGGTGTCGCAGGAGCTGGTGAAGCTCGGGATCCTGCGCAAGACGCTGGGACCAAAGGAGGACCTTGGCGTCGGGCCGCGACTGCTGCTGGAGCTCCCGGTGCTCACGACAGCAGCCCCGGGCGCTCTGCCAGCAGCCACCTCCGTGCGGGGACGCAGTGCCTCTCCAGGGTCACTCCTGTCCTCGCCAGCCCTGGGAGGGAGGGGCAGAGGAGCACAGAGCCCCTCAATCCAGCCCAGCAGCCGAAGCCAAGGTAGGAGCCCACCTCCCCGCTGCTCGGGCAGGAGAGGGGAGGAGACGGGCCGAGAGCTGGGGCGGGAGCTCAGCCACCGTCCTCCGTCCCAGGCCACAGCGTGTCGGGGCAGTGCCGATCCCGCACGCCCCATGGACTCCCTCCGTCTCCGCTCCTCACCTCGCCGTGACGGACGAGGGTTGCAGCAGCCACTGCCACCAGCCCCTCCTCAGAGCAGAGACTTTAATTAAAAGGTGACTAAAAAAGAGAGGCCCCGATGCGCTGGGTTGTTTTGATATAAAAGGCCAAGGTCAGCAACTCCAGTGCCAGCAGAGTCTGTGTCCCCTGGTCCTGGCTGGCTGCACGATGCAAGCAGGGGGCTGCGGGGGTGTCCTCTCTGCCGGGGGGGGGGACAGGCCAGCCCGAGCCCCCCTGCCGAGCGCTGCAGGAGGGATGAATCCCTCCCAGGTCAGTCAGGGCCATTCCTGTTGGCTGGGGGATCCCCGGGGCGGCGCCGGCGCGGCCTCACCGCAAGCTGCTGCTGCTGCTGGCCTGGGAGCTGCCCACCCCCGGGTGCTCCGGGCTGTGCCGGTTCTGCGGAGGAAGGACAGACACGTATCCTGTGAGACCTCCTGCTCGACAGCAGCACCCCCGGGGAACGGCCGCTCGCTGGCTCCAGGCCCTGCTGCTGCCTGGGCCAGCCAAGCTGGCTGCCAGACGGCCCCTAGGGTGGGCACAGGCTGGGAATCAGACCCCGGCTCTCCCCACCCACCTTCTTTTTCTTCTTCTCTTTCTTCTTCCTCTTCCGTTCCGGATCCTCCTCTTTTTTCTTCTTTTTCTTCTTGTGGTCGGAGTCCGAGGGGGTTTCTGGAGAAACGAGAGCGCCGGATGAGCTGGGCATCCCCCAGTGCTGGATGGAAGGAGGGGCAGCTGCGGGAGCGAGGTACAGCCCCTTACCTGGGGGGACGGGATCCTGGGTGCGGCTCTGCTTGTGCTTGTGCTTGTTCTTCTTCTTGGGCGGCTGGATGTGCATCAGCCGACACTGCTCGGGCAGCTGGGGAGAGGAGACGGGGCTGGTCAGGCCGGGCCGGGCACCTCCCACCCCGCTGCCTCTGGCCCGAGCAGCCACCCCCCAGCTCTCAGCCCCGGACTCACCGGGCCAGCGTGGAGGCGGAAGCCTGTCAGCATGGTGCCGGTGAGGGGGGTGAAGGAGCTGCCGCAGATGGGGGGCTTCTCGATGAGGGAGCGCAGGCTGCTGTTGTCGTGGGAGCCGGGCAGGTCGATCATGCCGGGCAGGTCGGGGAGGAAGTTGCTGAGCTTCTCCTTCACCTTCTTGCCGCAGAACTTGTTGTAGGCGTGCTCCAGGTTGTAGTGCGTGATCAGGTTGGTGCTGCCCGTCAGCTCCGTCGCTCTCCCCGCCATCAGGGACCCCGCCGGGCCGGGGGCCCCGCTCCCCTTCCTCGCCCCGCCCGCTCTCCCCGCCGTGCCATCAGGGG